AGTACACTGCTGAGGGGAGCAGCGAGCAGCAGGAGAGGTCTGCGCGCCATGTGGGACCCTCCTCCTGTGGCTGGGGTGTGGGACCCTCCTCCTGTGGCTGGGGTGTGGGACCCTCCTCCGGTGGCCGGGGAGCAGCCGAGGATCGAACCGGCACTGTCGAGGCTGCGGGCAGCTTCTCAACCCAGCGCTCAACCGCTGCGCCACCGGGGAGGCCCTCAAGACACTATCCTTAAGAGTCTGCAAGTAGGGGCCTCCCTGGTGGCCCAAGGGATTAAGTCTCAGCACTATGAAGCTATCTGCAGCCACTGCAGCACGAGTTCCGGCCAGGGAGCTAACCCACATGGTGCAGCAGACCTTTTCTGTCTTGCCTGCTGCTCCCTTCAGGTGTATTTCAGTCAGTCTGCCTATTTTCTTCCCCACTCTGTCTCTGGTGAATCCTCTCACCCTCCGCCCCTCTCCCGCATCTCTGGCCTGTACCCCAGCTCTTGTATGCATAAATAAATAAATCTTAAAAAAAAAAAAAGTCTGCAAGGAACCCAAGCTGAGGAAAACATATAAAGGAAAGGAAAGGCCTGGAGTAGCTTCTGTCTGGCACTGAAAACCAAAGAGGACAGATATAAGACCTTGAATTGGAGGGGAAAATAAAAATACAGTCATCTAAACAGACTAATATCTCAGAAAATAATCTGATCATACTGAGAAGAAATTGGAGATATATCCTCTTATCCAGTTATGTCACAAACCTACAGCGTGACTATAGGCAGGACCCTCATTGTCTCTGAGCTAAGTTTCCTTAGTTATGGATTCCATAATCTCTAAAACTGCCATGACCACTCATCTTCCTAGAGTACTTAAGAGTCTTCCTGGGATGGCAAGGTTTCTTTTCTATTCTGGTGTTCCTGGCCTTTCCAGTCACTATCATGTGACCTGATAGGATCCTTTTAAGAGCATCGCTGACATAATTTTACTGAGGCCTGTTGGTCTTACCTTTGAGGGCTTTTTGTAGCTGTGTGTAATCATCATGGTAAATATGAGTTAGCTCTGGGCTTGGCCTAAAGGTGCTCTCTGAGCATTCTCTCATTTAATCTGCATAGCTGCTTATTGAGTTGATCCTATTGTTTGCATTTTATGAAAGATGAACCAGTGGCTCCCAAAAGCCAGGTAGCTTTCCCATAGTCTCATGACCACACCACATGGTGTATGAGAGGCAGAGCTGATCTGATGCTAAAGCTGAGCCCTTAGCCCACCGGTGTGTCCCCTCAGTGGGGCAGAGGGAACCAGAGGCATATGTCCTTGGACAATATGTGACTGTTCTCACAGCCAGTCTGGGAAAACCCTCTCTGAAGAGACTCCCGGCTGGATTCTTGTGTCCCCCTGAATCCTAAAGAGTTGGAGAGAGTGTATTGAGAGGAACATAAGAACCCCTTGGGATGAGGGTCTCTGAGGGTAAGAGTACAAATTTCTCAGAGTTCTGCGATCACTGTCTGGACATAAGGCCCTTGCCTGCATACCTGTGCTCCAGAGGGCGGTCTTCCTTTCTCCAGTAGTTGGGGACCCATATGTGGCTAGCTGTGTTCATGTAAAGATGGTCCAAGAACACCTCAACCTGCTTCCTCCTTGGGTTTGGGGTGGGAAGTGTCTGGGTTTGTAACTAGTCCCTGGGCAGACAAGTGCCACTGTCACCATGCACTACCCTAAAGCAGGGACCCACATTTGGAACTCACCACCCTGTAAGAGAGGCCCAAAACATCTTGGAGCAGGGCAGCTAGAGTGAGACCAGTAAGCTCACCCTCAGTGGTTCTGTCACAATCAGCCCCTCCACTTCCCCCACAGAGTTTCTCCTCATTACTACCGCTCCCCTTCACCCCATGTGCTAAAAATTTGTCATGGAAAGAGGAGATCCTGAGACCTTTTGATCATTCAAAGATGCTTTCTATCCAGCTAGTGAATTTGTTGAGGAATATTACCCAAGACTTATCTACATCTTAACTTACACCTGCCTTTTGTTAGGCTTTTATTGACTCCAAAATCATGTTGGGCCTTTCTTCTTTATTTGTGTTTATTAAGACTCCCTAAGTGACACTGGACTAGGCACTATGAGAATATGGTAGAAATCCAAACCCATCCTTCATTTTACAGAGAGAAAGAGGAAAACCTGGAGATGCTAAGGAACTTGCCTAAGGTTACACAGCTACTTACTGGCAGTGGTGAGTTTGGAACTTGAGGTTCCTGCCTTTAAGGGGTTCCTGGCTTTGAGGTTCCTGTGCTTTCAACAGCATCTTGCACAATTTATGGTGTGGTTGGGGACATGGGAGTAGTGACAACTCTGAAACAACTACTGAATTCTTAGAGGGGGTGCAGAGTCCCCTTGTTGGTGATTTCTCACCCACAGTGGGCTTGCTGCCAGTATTTTCTTTTGAGACACTGGGGAATCCCATAATTTTAAAAAATGTTTTGGTGAGATTTTTATCTAGATTGTGCTTCTTCAGTGTGCGTGTGTGTTTGTGGGAAGTATTCTAGCATTTTTTTATCCTCAGACAATTTCACAAAGGTTGATTGGGGGTAGGGCTCTGTGTGTCCCTTGCGTAAGGCAGAAGAGAGTAGAAGCGGAGTATGGGGAAGAGGGAACTGTGCTTGAGTGGAAAGGGAACATTATGCCATCCCACTGACTGGGACACTGAGTGGGGAGGGAGAGGGAGGTCTGCCATGGTTGTCCATTGGTGGGGTGAGGTGAGGTCTCTGGGTAAAAGGAAAGAGGCTGGTAAACTGTTTTCTTAACCCAGAAGTGTACAAAATTAGTGTCTGTGTCATTCATTCAACAAAAAATAGTTAACAAGTAATATCTGAAAACACCTCTGTGTAAAAAGGCCCTGTGTCAGGTACTAGGAAGGAAGTGTTTTATAGCCAGGGATGTGTCTTGATTATATTCTTTTTTTCATTTGAAGATTTTATTTATTTATGCATACAAGAGCTGGGATGTAGACCAGAGGTGGAGGGGGGCCGGATGAGAGGATTCACCAGAGACAGAGTGGGGAGCAGAACAGGTGGATCTACTGAAATACACTGCTGAGGAGAGCAGTGGGTGAGACAAGAGACATCTGCCACACCATGTGGGTAGCTCCCTGGCTGGAGATCGAATTCATGCTGTAGTGGCTGCGGATTGCTTCATAGTGCTGAGACTTAACCCCTTGTGCCACCAGGAAAGCCCCTTGGTTTTATTCTTTCCTGTGTAGCAGAGTTAGATTTCTCAGGGTTTCATTGCCTGCCTGAAGGTTGCCACTCAACCTCAGAGACTCTGAAGTTGATGCCTGGCTGATTCTGTGCCTCCCAGTATCAGGTTTGGGGTGAAGGCTGCCCATCCACATTGCAGCCTAACCAAGGTCAGATTGGAGGGAGTGAGGTGCTGTGGGACTGGACCAGGCTCCCAAGGACATTTGCCTCCGAGCTTTTCTGAGAAGCTAGTGGACTGAGGGTAAGGAGTGGAGGATCATGGGTTTCCACTCCTCCCTGATGTACACCCAACATTTTATCAAGAAGGTGGATATAACTGGGTCCTTTACCAGGAAATGAAACCAGATTTGGACCTTATGAGAGATCAGAATAGACTCAAAATAGACTCATGAAGGGGACTTTCATGCAGGAAAGTACAGGCCTCAGAGGTTGCCCATCTTGGGTCAAGGACTCCCTGGAGCCACACGGTTAGGTGAGATAGGACTAGGAGGGGCAGAGTCCAGTTGGGTCACACTTCTAACTCCTATTTCTTTGGAACTATGAGTTGGGCAGATTTTATCTTGACTCTTTTGACCCTCTATGAGGCAACAGCTGGGGGTGGGAGAGAGAACAGCGAGCAGCAAGCATGCTTGTTCTTCATTTGGTCCATTTAGTAACTTCCTGTAACTTTTGAGCAAGGACAGGTGTAACCTATTATGCCCAGAGGTGTGCATTCTCTGACACATGCCTGTGGTCCCGAGGATGACTAGAAATGGATCCTCTCCCAGCGCCACCAAAAGAAAATTTATTGACCATGGGGACAGGGTGGAGGGGCTTTGTGTATGTAGCTTTTGCCAGGTCCTTTCCTTCATCTGACCAGTAAGTAACTTACTTTGTACCGGACACAGTGAAAGGCATCTGGGTTATATCTCCTTCATGCTTCACTCCTTCCACTTTGCAAGGTCCACATTTTGCTGGTAAAGATGCAGTACCACAGGGAGAAAACCAGACTTGGCCTCTGTCTCTGAGTGAGTGAAGCTGGTGTCAGTCTCTTGGCAAATTCAAATGTATTTGCTGGTCTTTCCCTCAAGTAATTCTAGGTTGCTTTCTAACTTATCACCCGCTAAAGGATGGGGGAGGAGGCTAGGAATCTTTCCAGGGAAAGGAACGGCATGGGCAAATGTTTTTTGGTTGAAGGAGAGCAAGGCCCCTTCAAAAGCCCCAGGGAACGCAGTGTGATAAGGAAGGAAAGGCAGGTTGAGTGAGCTCTTGCTGGGCCAGTGTATCACATTCACAACCCTGACTTCACCTAGGACAGCCCTTTCCTTCCTCAGAGATATGACTAGGCCTCGTCTCTGGAAAGCCCTCTCTGAGCACCTGGATACAGTCCAGTCCTCTATTAAATACCTTTTTCCACTTTCCCTCCAGACCCTCGTCTTGTCTCAGAGGGAGCCCTGACCTCAAGTGCTGGGACCAGAGCTTTTCAGCCTTCTGGGCCCTCTGACTGGATTGACTCTCCTGCCTGATGATCAAGCCTTAATTAACTTGGGACTCTTCCAGAAGGGTATGTTGGCAGGGAGTTGCCAGGCATGTGACCAGGGCCTGCTCTGTGCCCAGGGACCAGCCCTGCCCACAGGATCTCTGGGGGCTGTCAGACACAGTTTTGCAGGACAGCTAGCTGACAGGGAATGTGACAGGAATATGAACGTGCCATCAGTCCATGACCTCAGATCCTGGTCTCATGGCTACTGATCTTTTCAGTCAGGAACATTGTCATTACCCGAACTATGCCATCTCGGCTCTAAGACAATTCCAGAATCCCCACTCTCTGATCTCAGCTTTCTCCTTTCCAGAGTTTTCAAAATTCACAACTCCTACCAGCCTTTATCATAGAGTTCCCCAGGTATCATGAGTTCCCCTTTATCATAAGTTTATAAGTTCCCCTTTATCATAGTTTTCTGCCCCCTGCAACCTCTGCTGCCTCCCATTCCACCCTCACTTCCTTCTCCTGAAGGCCAGACCCTTTCTATCACATCTGCCACTCTTTTCCCCAAACCTTCCACACCTCCCCTCCACTGCCCTTCCTCTGCTAATGGCCAGGCTAGGTCACGTCAACTTCCTGCTGCCCTCATCTTCCCCACAGGATTGGATCTACCAGCCTCAAGCAGCCAGTGTTTGCCTTTCCTTTCCCCCTAGAAGAGTCCCAAGCCTTCCCCACTGCCCTTTATCTGTAAAGATATCTGGCAAAGAACCCCAAACTATTTCATTGAAAAATCAGAGGATGCAAGGAGACCTTCACTGGGGCAGTCATGGAAGAGTCCCCTCAGATTTCCCTGCCAGAGGGAACCTGCCTGGTGGGGGTTGAAGGCAGGGAGCTCAGAGGTCATCAGGTCCCTCTCCACCCTGCTGCAGCCAGTGGTGCTGTGAGTGCAGCAGAGTTGCAGTGGACAGGCCACTTCTGCCCCAGATCTGAGGCTTCACCTGCTCTCAGCCTGAAGGCATTTTCTGTCCACTCCTGCTCTTTCTCCCTGTGTCTTTCACAGGCGTTTCCCCCTGCCCCTCACATATCCTGTGCTTTTTACTCCATTTAGCATCTGCCCCCAGACCATCTGAACTGACACTGCCTTCCTGAGTGTCAGTGGCATAGCAGCCTGCCATGGGTCCACTCTTGTGTCTATCTTGCACGTCTTTTGGAGGGCACTTCTGCCAGCCCAAAGCTAATCCTTTCAGCTGGCCTTGGGTCTACCCCAGACCCCTGGTATCTATCATCCCATCTTCCCAACTTCCTTTTCTCTTTCGCCTTGAGCTTTACCTTACTGCCTACTCTTCCTTCATCCATTGTCACCAGTGCCACCAGTAAACCCCAACTTGCTAAATTCCTTGGGTATATGAATCTTTGCCGTAGTTGAGCTATGTAGAAAACACCCTCTCCTCCCTGAACCATTGTCCTTTCTTGTCAATTCTGTTGTTGGCCTCTCTTCCTCTCTCCTTCCCCAGTCTCCTCTTCCACGACCAGCCCTTAAATGCTGGTGTTCCATAGGGTTTGCGTGAGACCCTCCTCTCAATAAACTCCCTGCCTCCATGAAGGAGATTTCCAAATGCCAACTTGCTGGCAACTTCCAAAATTTCACTTTTCAATCAGTAATTTTCCTTGAAGTCCATATTCTGATAACCAACTGGTGAAGGAACTTATTGTCTTTCCACTTCAGTGCACTGTGTGTACTTCACACCCAGCAAGTCCCTAGATGAACTCATAGTTGCCCCCTGCACCCCCCTCCAACCCCAAGGCTGCTCCTCTAGGATCTCTAGCCTCCAGCTTGCCTGGGAAGCCCCCTTAGTCCTTCCCTTCAGGTCACCCAGCACTACCATTTCTACTCCACACTCCCTTCCCATCTGCCTGCCGCTCTCTGCCACTGAATGTAGTTAAGCAGTTCTTAACTACTTAAGTTCTTAACTACACTATCAATTCCATCTCTTAACCCAGTGTCTTGATTCTTACCCCATATGTCTCCATTAGTTCTCAAATTGATCTTTCTGAAGGACCTGGAATTCTGAACCAGGAAGACATCTATTGCTTCCCATTATACTTCATCATTATCAGACTTTCTCCATGTGCCAGTTAAAACCCTTCAGGATCTGGTCACCTTCCTTGACCTTTAAGGGTTACCCACATTGAATCATATGTAGCTTCCAACATGTCTTGCTCTCAGAATCATTGCATCTGCCTCCCTCTTCCTAAAGCACTCTTCCCCACACCCCCTTGGCTGATTCCTCATCCATCAAAGCTCAGATCAAGGGGTACAACCCCCAGGATCCTGAGTAGAGAGGTAATATTTGCAGTGTGTTCAGAAGAATGGCAGAGAATTTGTGAAACTGAATTTGAAGAAGAGTATTCTAGGGACAAGGAATGGCAGTTAAAAGGCATGGAGGTTTGGGAGAGAGGGATCTGTTAAAAGAACTGAACTTAGTTCTGCAGCTGGAGCAGAAGTTAAATGGGCAGGGCATGCTAGAGATGGATCTGGGAAGATGAGACCAGAAACAATGACTATTAGGCTCCGGGAAAACTGATTTCACCCAGCACGGAACAGGGTAGGACATAATGAGTGCTTTTGATGCCATGGAGAAGAGGGGCAGGAGTGGACAGTGCCTGGATATGGAAGGTCTGGAGAGGAAGTGATAGTGGTTCAATTAAGAGGTTGTGGGTGTGACTCCAAGCAGGCCAGGGGACAGAGTGAAGGTTGTGATGCCTGATGATGACGTGTGATGCAGTTTCTGGGTTGAAGATGAAGACCCTCACCAAGATGGCAGCCCTGGAGAGGAATAGATTTGAGAGCAAGAAAATGAATTCAGTTTTGCTTGTAAGACCTGAAAAGTGTACATTGGAAGGGGCTTTATGAGGGCACAATTGAAGGCAGAACTGTGGGGAAGGATCAGATATATGCTCAGATCCTACCAGCTGCTGAGAGCTGACTATTAAATATTCTGGAATTTTGTGACAGTAGTTAAACTTCAGTATCATTTAAACATTAAAATATATAAAGTTATAATTATATAGCTTTTATTAAAAGCAAAGATAAAAACTCAAAATTCATTATTTCCTAAGAATTTGACAATATTTTATTGCTTACGCTTTTAAGATTACTTGCAACTGTATGTTTGTGGAAATATTATATGGTGTTATGTTACTGTGCTTTTCTTCCCCCATTCTGCATTCAGTGACATCACTTCGGTAGCTTGAAATTGGCTGTGGCGTGAATATTTACACCATGGGCATTGGCAAACAACACAAATCAGGGCTTGATTTATTGTTTTCCTGATTGTCTAAGAAAATTATAGAGAAAATGTTGATTGTCCTGACTTGATTGTCTGAGAAAATTATAAAGAAAATGTTAATAACGAACATTAAACTTAAGTGTGTGTTGTGCATGTGACCAGTTACATTGTGGATGGTACAGAAATATTAAGCAAATATTCTTCAGCTTTCAAAAACTATTTCTGAGTCATTGCAGTTACTTATATCATTGACATATACGTGAAGTTCCAATGTATATCTTCATTAGTTCATTTTTTTTTTACTAGTTGGTGCAAACAAAAATATCAGTCAACATTCATGTTGGAACTACACTTATTTGCATAGCTATAGATTGGTTATGAATTCAACAGGTTAGTAAAAAAATTAGTGAAATCATTCCGTGAGGTTCAGTTGGCTATATGCAATTTATAATAAGAAGTGCTATATATTTTATTATTACCTATAAATTACTAAACACCCCTGTGTCAGTAAAATTTGCAGTAAACTCATATATGCATATCCACGACTACATTTTTTTTTCTTTAGAGGGGCCTCTTGTTAAACATGGACCAGCACACTAGTGACTTGACTCTTTGGAAGGCTTCCCAGAAGAGGGTGGGAATGATTGCTGGATAAAAGCTCCCATCAGTGGAGAGAGGAGGGGGGCAGGTAAGTTGAGCTCAGATGGAAGGATTAGCCTGAATGGGCACAGACAACAACTCCCCTCAACCCCCCCAGAAAGGATGTGGGAATGAAGAGAATCTGGGGCAGGAAGAAGCTTGTGCTCACCGTTTTCTCTGCCACATAGGGTGCAAGCTGTTTTCTGATGGCTAGAGACAGAGAAGTGAGGAACTAAGGAAGGTGAAGTTTTGGCCTAAGTAATCAGCCAGGGTCAAAGAGAAAAGACCTTCACAGATGAGGCTGACTCAGAAAGACAGGAGATGACAAGAACAGAATCATGAACAGGGCAGCAAATAGGTGGAGTGTCAGCCAGGTTCCAGCCCTGGGCCAAGCCCTGTGGTTGAATTGCTTTTTTAATCTCCCAGGATAATCCTAGGAGGAAACAGAGGTTAAGTCCTTTCTCCACAGTGCACAGCTGGTAGGCAGGTGAGTCAGATGTGCACTCAGGCAGCCTGGCTCTGTTGACAAGGCATGGGCCCGCATAGCACACCTTTTTCCTAAGCAGAGCCCCTCAGACTATCTAGTTGGCATTGCCCCAGGCTAGAGAGGCAAGGCAGGTGTGGCATCAGGACTGGCAAATTCCCACACACATCTGGCCCCAGTCTGGTGGTTGCTGAAGCTAATGATAATGAATCAGGGATTATATTTTTTAAAAATCTTAGTTATCTAAAACTTGTATTTTTTAAAATTAGAGTATGTGACAGATTGGAATTCACAGAATAGAACATTTGAGAAGCACTAAGCCACCCTTCTAATCACATTGTTCCCCTGCTGGCAACTCTTTTTGATCCCTAGTGACGACAGCAGAGGTATTCTAATGGTTGGTTGGCACTAACTCGTAGAAGAGGGATTTAATTTGGTATCATTACCAGCATTAAAAAAGAAGAAAGAAAAAAAAGAAGTCAAATAGAAAACATCAGTGTATATCACAGGTATAAATATATTCTCTTGGATCTATTTGTGTACATATATATATGCATATATGTAGGACTTAATGGGACAGGGTAAAAGGTGAGCTGGGTTCAGAGACTATCTAGGTGATGGGTAAAAATTGATCAAAGGCCCCAAAAGACCAGGACTTTCTCTCCTGGATTGTGCCAGTGCTCATCTCAGTGATGACCTGGGCCTGGCCTCTGGGAGACTGCAGGTGGAATGGAGGAACAATGTCCCCATGGGGGGATCTTAGAGGAGGAGTCCCTAAGTCTGCTGGGAAATCAGGTAGACTGCCCAGAGATGATAGCACTTTAACTGACTTCTGAGGGGGAGAATTGGTGTTTACCAGGAGAACAGGGCTGTGGGGAGGGTTTGCATGGCCAAGTGAGTGGTTTCTGAAAAGGCATGAGAAAGCCCATCATGTCTGGGGAACTGTGAGCCATTTATTACAGGAGTAGCATGAACTGGGGGATGGGGTGGGGGTGCCCTCATGCACTGTGTTGAGAGACAGAACTTTATTTGGGCATGAAGAGCGATGGAGGAATTTTGAGCAGAAGAATGACTCTAGCAGTTCTGAGGAGAGTGGATTAAGGGGAGGAGGCAAGAAGTGGTGAGACCTGCAGGACAACTATTGCAACAGTTGGTCCTGAAGTAGGGCAGTGAGAGAGGCTCAGGAGGAGGAACCCTAGAACATGCCACCCACCAATCTTCGGAAAGGCAGTGAGAATAGGCAGGGGTGACTGGGGATGGCTCGATGGCAATGGTTTTGCCCATGTCATTGACACGGGAGACAAAATGAGTGTGGGGAGAGGATCACGTGTTTATTCTTGAAAGTGGCACTTGTAGGTGGATGTGGCAGTGGGCCACGGAGCAGAGGAGAGGTTAGGCCAGGAACACAGACCTGGGGGTCACTGACCTGGGTTGAGTGTGGAATGAGAGGGAAAGGGCTGTTCAGGGAACTTCCAGGAGAAGGGATCCTAAAAGACCAAGAGGAGGGGTGTCTGAGGTACAAGTTCCAGAAATTTGGGTTACAGGAACTGATTGGTCAAAGAAAACATAGTAAGAAAAGCCACCATGGGCCTACCCGGTGGCTCAGCGGTTGAGCGCTGGGCTGTGAAGCTGCCCGCAGCCTCTGCAGTGCCGGTTCGATCCCCAGCTGCTCCCCGGCCACCAGAGGAGGGTCCCACATGGCGCGCAGACCTCTCCTGCCGCCCGCTGCTCCCCTCAGCAGTGTACTTTGTCATTCTGCCTGTTCTGCTCTCCGCTCTGGCTCTGGTGAATTCTCTCACCCTCCCGCGCTTCTGACTGTACCTAGTGCTTGTATAAATAAATAAATCTTCAAAAAAAAAAAAAAGAAAAGCCACCATGCCAATGGTTCAGAAAATGAAATTCCCTGAAGGGTTCCTGGGATGACGCCCTTGGCAAGGGTACAGTGGAGGGTGGTGGGAACAGGAGCCAGTGGCTTTGGCAGTGAGTAGAGGTGACACAGTGAGGCAGAGAGGAAGCAGGGTGCACCCACCATATGGCACCTTTGTGTGAGTTAGATAGGTGCGCCCCTTCTTCCAGGCATGCTAGCTTGACAAGTGCGTATGGGCTGGATTTTAGCTCTCACGTGTTCCCAGTAGGGCATCACGTGCCATAGCTTTTCTAGAAACTGACTGGGAAGGAAGTAAAGAAATTATGGTTGACCAAGGGGGATGCAGGACTATGCTAGGGGATTATTCTTTATGTTGTGAAAGGCTCGTGCCTGTGGACTTGCATGAGAAGGAAACCCAGACTGGGACAAGGTACAGGACAGGAAGACTAACAAGAGGCTAGTGGGAGCTCAGGCCAGAAGGCCCCACCACCCTCAGCCCTTGTGCCAAGAGCACGGGTAAGAGTGGTGAGATCCCCGCTCCTTGGACTCTGTGTTGAGGGGAGCCTTGGTTTTTTTTTTTTAAAGATTTATTTATGTATGCATACAAGGGCTGGGGTGGAGGCTAGAGGTGCAAGAGGATGAGAGGACTCGCCAGAGACAGAGTGAGGAGCAGAACAGGCAGATCCACTGAAATACACTGCTGAGGGGAGCAGCGGGTGAGACAGGAGAGGTCTGCCGCGCCATGTGGGTTAGCTCCCCTGGCCAAGGATCAAACTCATGCAGCAGTGGCTGTGGATAGCCACCAGGGAGGCCCGAGGGGAGCCTTGTATGTGGCGTGTTGCGGAAGAGAGTTAGGCAGGAACACTGAGACCCAGCCCAGGCTGCCTATCCCTGGTGACCAGCGTGCCAGGTGACACACAGACTCCCCAGGGAGCAGACTTAGAACTTGGGCAGGCCAAGCTGGTGAGCATTTGTTTACTTACTATTTTACTTTTCAGCGTGGAAAAATTTCAAACACGCCCAAAAGTAGTGGATACCTCAAATGCACCCTTTTTAAAAATTATGTATTTAATCATATATTTATTTAGTAGAACTGGGGTGTAGGCCAGAGGTGCAAGGGGTGAGCGGATTCACCGGAGACAGAGTGGGGAGCAGAGCAGGTGGATTTACTGAAATACACTGCCAAGGGGAGAGCAAGCGAGATAGGAGAGGTCTGCTGCACCATATGTGGGTCAGCTCCCTGGCCAGCTGTAGCACTGATAGTGCTGAGACTTAACCCCTAGACCACCAGGGAAAAGCACCCTCTTGCACCTATCATTTAGCTTTACCAATTACTCTTATTGTCAGTCTTATTTAAAGTATGTAAGGGCAGGAAGACAACAGGGCAGGTTTTCTGATCCAGCAGACCGGGTAAAGGAGGAGTTAGAGTCCTCAGTGGCTTTTGCAGGTCTTTATTTAGATTACTAGGCACATGGCAGGCAGGGGTGCTGGGGGGCCGGGAGGCTGGCAGTCCTCCCAGCCCCCAGCAAATCCTCACTCCGTCTGGGCTCTCTGGAGTTCTCTCTGCTTCCGTTCGTTCTTGGCTTCTGCTGGCGTCCCTGTGATGCCGCCCTTAAAAGCCGAGTCTTAGCCCAGGTGAATCCCATCTACCTAGGCCCACACCCTACTCCAGGTGCCCGCCATCAGGCATGCATTCAGGACAAGGATCCATCATCTATCCTGATGGCGGGAGGGCAGAAAAGCCTGATACTTTACTTACCCTACAATGTACTTCCCCCTTTATGTACCCTTATAAAAACTTTAAAAATTATAATAAACTTACTTTTTCAGAGCAATTTTAGGTTCACAGCAAAATTGAGCAGTAGGTATAAAGACTCCCAATTTACCCCTCATTAAAAGTTTTATTTGGTAATAATTTTAAGCTCACAGAAAAATGCAAGAACAAGTTGCTTTATTTTTAAATACTGTTTTCTTACTAGAGAATATATTCCCAGAATACATGTATATATAATATATCTGGAAGAAAAGATCATTCATGATTCTACCACTCAATACAAGTATTCTCATTGTGTATTTCCCTACAGACTTTTCTTCTGTACTTACCTGCATGTTTTGATTTGGACTCCTTTATCCAGAAACTAACTCCAATCCCCAAAGCTTTCTTGTCTGGTGTGTCCACATGTAGGGTAAAGAAAATATCAGGCTTTTCTGCCCTTCCGCCATCAGGATAGATGATGGATCCTTGTCCTGAATGCATGCCTGATGGCGGGCACCTGGAGTAGGGTGTGGGCATAGGTAGATGGGATTCAGCTGAGCTAAGACTGTGATTTTTTAAGGGCGGTGTCACGGGGACGCCAGCAGCAGCAGCAGAAGCCGAGAAGCAGCAGAACGAACGAACGCCAGAGAGCCCAGAGAGAGTAAAGACTTGCTGGGAGCTGGGAGGCTGGCAGGCCTTCCAGCCCCCCAACCAGCACCCCTGCCTGCCATATGCCTGGTGAACCCCAATAAAAGACCTGCAAAAACCCACTAAGGACTCTGACTCCTCCTTTACCCGGTCTGCATGGGATCAGAGAACCTGCACTGTGGTCCAGTCCTGCCTTTACACCACATGAGCTGCCTCAGTCCCGGGGTCCTCACCTCCCAAATCCTGTGGTAGTATCTGCTGGAGAGCACCAACGCTTAAAGGATGGTCTCATCCCATTTTCAGTATTGATGCTGAATATTCCTTCCATTTCTGTTTTTCTGGTGTAATCTTGGTTGATTTCCCAGTGTACTGAGTCACCATCTTCCCCACCTCCTGAACTCATCTTTCTGGATTTGGGGCATCTGTGTCTGAGTCTATGCCCCCACTCACCTGAGAACTTTGTGAGGGCAGGACTCAGATCTGATTCATCTGTCAACATGAGGTGCAGTTGACCTCAAGAAATATGTGTGGAATTGAATCAACCCACTCCTTTGACATCAGCTCTCTCCATCTCTGCTGCAGACTCTTAGGGTGCCTTACACTTATTTACTGCCACTCATGGTGTCTGGCACATAGTATGTGCTCAGTAAGTGTCTGCTGCTGCTGCTGCTACAGTCACCTGGAGATTGCCATGTATGTTAGGGTGCCGGTGTATTTTCCTTCTTCCCTCTTCCCTTTTCTGCCTCCCCTCACTTCTTGATCGTAAAGAAGAGAGGTCATTTTGACTGCCAGCGGGAAAGTTAGGAGCAAAGCTAAGTTGGCACTGAATTCAAAAGAAGCAGTTCCCTGCACTGAGGCTATTTTATGTGTTTGCATTGCTCACAATCCCAGTTATCATCAGCAGCAATTAAAACTATTTCAGGATCAGTTCAAAGCTGCCTTTGAGGTATTTTAAGTTGGACAGAAATCTTCCATGTGTAATTTCCTAGTGTCATTAGAAGTCTACTGGTCTTTGGAGAATACCCAGTCTGTCTATGTTGATTGCCTGAAGATTTCATAGATTGCAGGAGTATTTGTCACTACTCCTGGGGTTAATGTCCCAGGAACTATTTGGACGCTCTTACAGGTCCCATTCCCTTCCTTTTACGTGAAGGGGACATGGAGATGGGAGAGGAAGGGGGGTTCTGCTAGGGTCTTCCCTTAGAGCCAGTGCCTCTGGTCAGACAAACTGCTGGTCTTCTGTGACCCAGAGGGAGGGTGGTAGGATCCAGGCAGAAAGGGATAAAGGGCTCGCTCTAGGGTGGAGGCGTAGGAATTAGGAAGAAGGCGCAAACCCAATTTGGAGGGCAGGGCTGTAAAGAGGGGACTCAGGAGAACTTCAGAACACCTTGAGTAACATTCCTACTTGATTGAAAGATAGAAAGAAGCAATTTGAACTTCTAGGGAATTAGTCAGCAACTCTTGGTTAGCCCTGGCCCTGACCCCGGGCCTGAAGAGCCAGTCATGGCATTGGGGCCTGAGATCACAGTTTCCCAAACACCTCCAGGTCCTCCAGGGCCAAGCATCTGCTGATAGGCTGAACTGGGTGGCTTCCATGTGCAAGAGTCTAAATGGGGATGGTAAAAGACTGCAGAGCAAACCAAATGGGAAGAAGAGACTGGAATAGTGTAGAGCAGGGGCAGCAGCGCTTTGTCCCTCAGTGGCACGCTGGCCTGTGCAGTGTGGGCTGTGGCAGGGACTAAGAAGGGAAACTATGAAGGAAAAACTTCCCTCCCAAGTGCCTTTGGCTGTGGCTGACTGGTGCGGGCTGGGTAGTTGCTGCTCGGGAACAGTGGTGCTGGTAGTCTAGGGGTTTGTGATTTGGGTAAAAGGAATCTGTTGGTGCTTTTGGTTTCCCCAAAAGCCTTGTGTAGGGTAAGGAAAAATGTCAGGCTTTTCTGCCCTCCCGCCATCAGGATAGATGATGGATCCTTGCGGTCCTGAATGCATGCCTGATGGCGGGCACCTGGAGTAGGGTGTGGGCATAGGTAGATGGGATTCACCTGGGCTGAGACTGGGCTTTTAAGGACGGCGCCATGGGGACGCCAGCAGAAGCCAAGAACGAACAGAAGCCGAGAGCAAAGAAGCAGAGAGAATGCCGGAGAGCCGAGAAAGAGTGAAGACTTGCTGAGGACTGGGAGGCCTGCCAGCCTCCCGGCCCCCCAGCACCCTTGCCTGCTGTGTACCGGGTAAATCCCAATAAAAGCCTGCAAAAAACCACTGAGGACTCTGACTCCTCCTTTACCCAGTCTGCATGGGATCAGAAAACCTGCACTGTGTCCTGTTCCTGCCCTTACAGGTAGATAAATGATATCAGGCTTTTCTGCCCTCCTGCCATTAGGATTGATGATGGATCTGCAGTCCTGAATGCATGCCTGATGGCGGGCACCTGAATAGGGTGCGGGCATATGTAGATGGGTACATCTGGGCTGAGAGACTGAGCTTATAAGGGCGGTATCATGGGGATGCCAGGAAGAGCAGAGAGCAGAAGAGAACCATGAGAGAAGCAGAGAACAAGGCCACAAGAGAATGCCAGTGAGCCCAGAGTGAAGACTTGGTGGGGTCTGGGAGGCCTCCCAGCCCCCCAGTACCTCTGTGTAGGGTAAGGAAAATGTCAGGCTTTTGTGCCCTCCCGCCATCAGGATAGATGATGGATCCTTGCGGTCGGTCCTGAATGCATGTCTGATGGCGGGCACCTGGAGTAGGGTGTGGGCATAGGTAGATGGGATTCACCTGGGCTGAGACTGGACTTTTAAGGGCGGCGTCACGGGGACACCAGGAGAAGCAGAAAGAGAAGCCGAGAAAGAAGCAGCATAAGCCGAGAGAGAAGCAGAGAAGGCCGGAGAACCCAGATAGAGTGAAGACTTACTGGGGCTGGGAGGCCTGCCAGCCTCCCGGCTCCCCAGCACCCTTGCCTGCTGTGTACCGGGTAAATCCCAATAGAAGACCTGCAAAAACCACTGAGGACTCTCTAGGACTCCTTCTTTACCCGGTCTGCTGGATCATAGAAAACCTGCACTGTGTCCTGTCCTGCCCCTACACATTGCTTAGGTCAGAGCTCACCCAGACTCCCTTGGGTCCTGATCTGAATCTGCAGCTAGATTTTTGTGCAGAATTCACTTCTTTGGCCCTCTTTTTAGCTTGAAGACCTGCCATCATAACTCACTGAATCAGAGCTAGATGCAGTTGTGGCCCCTGCTCCTCAGAACTGCACCATCAACCTCACAAATTCACCCCAACCCTGGGTCCAGGGCCTCAGGTAAGGCCAGGACTGGAGTTGTGCAGGAGTCACACAGGCAAGCAGGCTCTTATTCCTGGTGGCCAATGCCCAGAGGTGGGAGATTAGAGGGTGTCATGTCCGTGGCCCTGTAATGTGTGTGGGGGGGTTGGTGCAGAAGGCAGGGTGACCCACTTTGAAAGCAGTGTGGTTATGACTAGGGTTGCTTCAAGAGGTCAGCCTGCACATACACATTCGTCTTAAATTCTTCAAAACGGGGCTGTTAAACAGCTGTATCCTGTTTTCATTAGCTTGTAAGCCATGGTGATAGGGATCTGCCTAGTTCTCTGAGGCAACAAATGTGCCCAGAGGCTAATAAACAGCAGGTGCCTCCAATAAATGATTTTAATACTTCATGTAAATGTGTGCGCAAATAAATGTGTGAAATGAAAGGTGGGAACTGAATTCCTTATGCAGATTACCCTATTTCTCAGCCATTTTGCACTGAGAACTCTAGTGTGACCGTGTGTGGTGTGTTTTACATGTGCAGGTTGAGCGTGTTTCCATCAGGTTGGATTTACAGGGCCTGTGCATCAGGAAAGCATGGCCCCCCTTGTTCAAGATGGTTAAGGAATTTTTATTTTATTTTTTATTTAAATTTTATTTTTTATATTCCCCATATAATTACAACCCCCTTATTGCAGCACTGTTTACAATAGCTAAGCTTTGGAAACAGCCCAAATGCCCAAAAATAGATGACTGGATCAAGAAGATGTGGTCCATATACACCATGGAATATTACTCAGCATTCAAAAAAGATAAACACATGCAATTTGGTTAAGGAATTTAAGACATCGATAGCTGAGTGTCAGATCAGGCTTGGGTCCTGACTACAGAGCCCATGAGGCCGAAAGTGCACCTCCTGACTTCATTTTTCGTTTTCGCTGCCTTGAAATCCCCCTTTGCTTTCTCCCCAGGTCAGCTTTACCTTGGGAATGAGGGAGCTAGCGAGGCAGTCTGGGGGGAAGTGGCAGCACCTGGCTTCTTTCCACTTTTGTTGACCCTCCTATGTTTCAGTCTGGGCCTCATCGACGATACCAAAATTCATAAGCTTTCTACTCTTTGGTCACAGTGATTTCCTGAGAATGCTCAGATACTCTCCCATTCCCTATCTCCCCTTCCTCCCAGGAGTGAAAGTCACTTCTCTGGGCACCTTTGGTGCTCTCCCCAGACATCTTCAGGCAGCAGAAACACTAAAGAGAAGGAGGTCCATGGTTTCTAGGTGCAGCCTCACTGCTCACTGCGGGTTTCAGTGCTCAAGGGGCTTGGGGAGAAGGATGGGTGTGGGTAAGGAAGTAACAAAGGGAAGCAGGGAGCTGGGTCTACATTGGGCTGGCAGAGTTCATAACCCTGAAATCTCAATGATGGGGTGTGGAGGGTAGGAAGGCCCTATTCCTTCCTGTTGTCCTGATTTGCCCACTGTGAGCACACTCAGGAGTTGCTAATGGGTAATAATGAGGGTGTTCCTGCCCCAGTACCAATACGGGTCAATAATTAGCCATGATTTCCTAGGTTCTGGGAGGAGGCAGTGGCCTGCCCCAGCTGGTTTCACTCATCAGTGCACCATTGACATAGTTATTCCCAGGTCCTTGAGTGGTCAAGGGACAGGAATCTCCCAAGGATTAAAGGAACTTGGGATCTTACTTCACCACGTTCCTGATCCAAGCCAGAGACCAGTCCCTAAACTCAGCCCCCTCTACTTATCCTAGAGCCTACAAGCCCCCTGTGTGCTTCTGTCTTGGGGGCTCAAGAGGGACAGATAACTTCTCCCTGAGCAGGCTTACCTGCCTCAGAGTAAAGGACCCAGAAATATAGAGGCTATGAGGGAGTATGAGGCAAGGAAGGCTAGATCTAGAGATGATCTAGGGCCAAATTGGGTGGGTGGGGTGGAGATAGCTAAAAACTTAATCACCTACCATGAAACTTTGCCTGCCCCAGAGATAGGGACCAACACCCCTGTACAGCAGTTGTGATGATAAACTAGCTTTCCAGAAAAAAAAAAATGCCGATTTAGAATTTGCTATTTTTTGTGGTATGAGTACTCCCATGAAGTCTGATTTCTAGCTACTTGTTGGTTTAAAAACTGACCCAGAAAATTCTTGAATGTTTAACAGTCTGCTCTGCCTCATGACCCATTAGATAACTGACCCCATCAGAGGTCCTCAACAGCACAAACCCCAGGGCCTGGCTGCCCACCTCCTGAGCCCAGCACCCCACTCCCTGCATTTCTTCGCAAAATTCCCTTATCCTTGCACTAGTCCGCATGCGGGTCAAAAACAAGACATTTAGGTGTTGTCTTTGTACTTTAGAGTTTTGGAGTAAAATGGGTCCTCTACCTTCCAGGTTGTCATGATGCTCCTTGAGATGATGGCTGTGAAATGACTCCAAAGTGAACCTCAAGCCCAATCAAGTGATGTGCCATGGTCTAAGTCTCAGGAGCCACCTATTTGTAGCCCAGGAAAGTGGGGACATGTGACCTAGTGTCCATCATGATGCTCGGAAGGCCCATTCTGGGGCATCTAGCAGTCTGAGTTCGTTGGTTGACTAGTCGTGCCGCCTCTGATGTCCCTCAGTCACATGCCAGCCTCCTCACTCATGCGTACTTTCAAGCGACCAGGTGTGTAGAATGATGAATACCAGGGAGCCAGAAAGCCACTAGGTCAGGCCAACACCCATCCCCAGGGATGGAGTCTATTCAAAAAAGTCCACTTAGAGAAGGGGCTTCCTGGTTTTGAGGGTGGCAGGGCCATGTTTCTAGGTGCATGTGTTTCATTGTGCAATCTTCTCAGAGACTTGCCCCCTTGAGCACTTTTTAGTGACTCCATTTCCTTCCTCAGAGCTCCTGGAATGGCACATGGCCCCTCCTTAGCCAGGCAGCTGTGATGAGAGGTGTTGACCCAGCTGCCTCTCTGCTGGCTCACTGTGTCAGGTGGAAGGGGCTGGGACAGCTCTGGGACTGAGGGTCTCTCTGTATAGCTGGGGAACCTGGGACCTTCCAGAAGCAGGACTAGGGCCAGGACACCTTTGGGACGTAGCCAGACCCTGGGTGATGAATGGTACAGGGATGCAGCGAGGGACAGGCTCTGGGCCAGGAAAAACAGCCCAGAGCCACAGGTGTGCCACCGGTTCTAGCTCCTCTCCCATCCTAATCCCTGTTGTTTGGTGACAGCATTCTCTCAGGCCTGAGCCTAGCAGAGAGCACCTGCTGAGTCCCAAAGAACATTTCTATGAAGGTAGGAGATGGTCACACATCTCTCACTGTGGTTCACCGCAGGACAGACTTGTGAACAAAGTGGCATAGCACACGCAACACATGTCCAACTGGGAGTGGGCATGCAGGCGTGCAAGGAGCAGGGTACAGGGTTCCTTTGAGGGGGCAGCTAGAATAGGGTCATAAAGTGGGTTCCCTCAACAGCCCCTATCTCCCTACACAGGTTCAGGTCAGGCTTCAGCCTGAGGACCTAAGGTTCTGCCTCTGGGCATCCAGGGAGCGAACCTGCATCCCCCAGCTGAGGACCTGTAGGGGGCAGGACAGGGCACAAGGCAGGTTTTCTGATCCCATGCAGATCGGGTAAAGGAGGAGTCAGAGTCCTCAGTAGTTTTGCAGGTTTTTTATTTGGGGTTCACCAGGCATATGGCAGGCAGGGGTGCTGGCTGGGGGGCTGGGAGGCTGGCAGGCCTCCCAGCCCCCAGCAAGTCCTCACTCTATCTGGGCTCTCTAGCGTTCGTTCTGCTGCTTCTCGGCTTCGGCTGCTGCTGGTGCTGGTGCTGCTGGCGTCCCCCCGTGACGCCGCCCTTAAAAGCACAGTCTTAGCTCAGCTGAATCCCATCTACCTATGCCCACACCCTATTCCAGGTGCCCGCCATCAGGCATGCATTCAGGACAAGGATCCATCATCTATCCTGAAGGCGGAAGGGCAGAAAAGCCTGACATTTTCTTTACCCTACAGTCCACCCCCTCAGGGTTTTCTGCCATACAGTCTATACATATATATACAATTTTCTAAGCAAACAAACAATGCAGCCATGGCCCACAAAAGCAAATACATCAAATATAACAAAATACAATATAACAAAATACAACAGAACACAAATAAGTCCAGGCAGGGCACCAACCAAGTGCAAAAGACAATTATTGGTACCAGCAGATGAGCCACCAAATCTGCTGCCGAAGGCACTGCTCATATGAGGGAGGGGAATCACTCACGGCATCTACTATATCACACCAGGAGCCGTCAGGCTTCCTGGCCTTCTCTGGCTATAGTCTAGGCTACAAGGCACACAGCATCCACCCCCAGGATGCACTAGCTCTGGGATTGGCAATTTTATTCTGTTGGGGGTAATCGCCAACCCTCAGGGTTTCTGTCTGCAGTCGCTCCAACACTCGGCCTTCATGGCCACCCATGCGACTCGCAGACCCCTGCACTCAGGCCAACCCACTGCACAAGCACATGGGTCGGGGATCCAAACTTTGCATTTGGCTTGGGCTCCACCCCAAGCCACATTCCCCACCCGTCCCCAAGGACGGGCTCCTCAGCTCCTCACCCTCACTCAAGAATGAGCAGGGCATCACCCATAGGTGATTTTACGAGACTCACAGGGCTTCAGCATACCCAGGCTGCTTAACAGCCGCTTTAGGGCTTCTCAACTTAGCATCAGTACCAGCTTTTGCCACCTTAGTTGGCTTTTCTCCTCCACCTGGCCACTGGGCATACACAGGCTGCTTTTGGCCATCTAGGCCCACTGGCCACCCCCAGATTCTCAAAAAATAAACATAACCTGCTAAGGTCCTCCGCCTTCTGGCGGGATTGTCAGTCCAGGTTTATCCGTCCATGTCCATTGGCCTCTCCCTGCGTCAGCAGCGGCCTGCTGCCTCAGGGGTCATTGGCTGGTCCTTTCCAGTGTCGTTGCCTGGTCCTTTCCGGTGTCGTTGGCTGGTCCTCTCGGGCATCTCCTCCATGCGAGGTCTCGTCCCACAGCTCCAGAACGAATCCACCTTCTGTGCCGCCATGGTGCCTCCAGCATCCTCACAGTCAAACACAGTCTGTTCTCCTTAGTCCCTCCAGGTCTTTGGAGGGCTCCAATACCCGTCTACATGGATCTTGCCGACTTACGCCAATTGTAAGGGCCGGAAGGGGCGCAGTGCAGGTTTTCTGATCCCATGCAGATCGGGTAAAGGAGGAGTCAGAGTACTCAGTAGTTTTGCAGGTTTTTTATTTGGGGTTCACCAGGCATATGGCAGGCAGGGGTGCTGGCTGGGGGGCTGGGAGGCTGGCAGGCCTCCCAGCCCCCAGCAAGTCCTCACTCTATCTGGGCTCTCTAGCGTTCGTTCTGCTGCTTCTCGGCTTCGGCTGCTGCTGGTGCTGGTGCTGCTGGCGTCCCCCCGTGACGCCGCCCTTAAAAGCACAGTCTTAGCTCAGCTGAATCCCATCTACCTATGCCCACACCCTATTCCAGGTGCCCGCCATCAGGCATGCATTCAGGACAAGGATCCATCATCTATCCTGAAGGCGGAAGGGCAGAAAAGCCTGACATTTTCTTTACCCTACAGGACCACACAGCCAGCCTCCTCCAGCCGAAAGCCTGCCAGATCCTCATCACTGGGTTTCACCAACATAGTGGATGTTTCCCCTTCCAGAACAAAAAGGAGCGACAGTCCCTTGCAGCTCTTTCTATAGGTAATCAGGTGAGGCACTGGGAGGGGAAGGCTGCAGTTTCTGGGGAAGGGGCTCTTGGAAGGTTCCTGGAAGTTAAGAGGTGCCAGGAGGAGAGGAGACAACACATGTGGAGTTGAGGATGGGCCTGCCCACAGCTAGAGTCTGAGCCAGATCTTGGATTCTGGCAGCGTCCATTCCCAGAAGTTCAAGATCCACAACAGCCCACCTTAGGGTGCGCTGGCCTAACCCTGAAATCACTGTAGCTGTTGAGTTAATGGAATGTGTGTGTGTGTGTGTGTGTGTGTGTGTGTTCTCTCTCATTTAAAAACTATTTTCTGTATATTCTTGATTCTGGGACCCTCCTCATTCTCCCCCTCCAGGGACTTACAGGATATCATGCTTAGTTCAGAAACACCAGCTTTGGCTTTACAAACAGGAGCGCAGTGAATGTAAACCCCTTTCTCTTTACCACTCCGTGTGGTCACCCGGGATTGAGGGCTTGGAACCTCTCGTCCCTGCTGCCCTCTTCTCCAACTGGTGACCAACACTTGGGTGTCATAACATCCTCCATGTCCTCATCTGTTATTCTGGGACACGGGCTGGGGAGGGTACCTGAGCAGGCCCCTTCCGACTAAGGCTGGCCTTTCTCTTGACGTGGGCTGACTTGTGCCAGTCCTGTGGATGGATGCAGAAGGGTGAGGCACTGATCCTGCTAGTCAGGCCAGATGCTAGCAGGAGGGCGGGACTCAAAGGGGCGGAGCTTCCAGAACAAAGGAGAATGGGGAGCCCTGGGGGCCCAGACTAGGCATCAAAAAGGCTCTGAAGAGTGAGCACGCCACAGCAACTGCCCGACTCTGTGCCCTGCAGTCAGCCAGGCAACCCTGCTTGGTCTCTTCTGCTTGCCCGGACCGGGCACCTAAGCCATACTCTGTTCAGAGAGGCCTTGAGATCCAGCGTGATTGCGCCGACACTGCTCTGTGGCTTTCTCTGCTTGGTGTGGGTTGCTGCTGCGGTTCCAGAAGAGAGCAGAAGGATGGCTGCTAGTGGAGCCAGAAGCCAGGAGGGCCGTCGGAAGCATGCCTTCGTGCCAGAGGCATTTGATGGAGCCAATGTAGCCCCACACCTTTGGCTGCACCGCTTGGAGGTCATCAATGACCTCAACCATTGGGACTATGACACCAAGATGAGGTTCCTGAAAGAATCCCTCAGGGGAAATGCCCTGGAGGCCTACCGTGGACTCGGTGCCAAGGAGCAGGGAGACTATGAGACTGTGAAAGAGATGCTCCTGCGGGGCTTCGGGGGTTCCGCGGCTGCCCACAGCCACCTGCCCAAGGAGATCGTCTTTGCCTTCAGCATGGGTAAGGGCTACTACCTCAAGGGGAAGATTGGCCATGTGCCTGTGAGGTTCCTGGTGGATTCCGGGGCCCAGGTCTCTGTGGTCCACCCTAGCCTGTGGGAGGAGGTCACCGATGGTGACTTGGACACCCTGCGACCCTTTGAGAATGTGGTAAAAGTGGCCAATGGGGCTGAAATGAAGATCCTGGGTGTGTGGGATACAGTGGTGTCCCTGGGCAAGCTCAAGTTGAAGGCAGAGTTCCTGGTGGCCAACGCCAGTGCCGAGGAGGCCATCATTGGTACTGACGTGCTCCAGGACCACAACGCTGTCCTGGACTTCGAGCACCGCACATGTACCCTGAAAGGAAAGAAGTTCCGTCTTCTGCCTGTTGGAGGGTCCCTGGAAGATGAGTTTGACCTGGAGCTCATAGAGGAGGAGTCCTCAGAGGAGGGGGGCCAGCAGCTCTCCTATTGAGAAGCCCCCTTTTCCTCAAACCCCACCCCCCCAACATTGGTGAGAAGACCCACTGCAGTGGAGGGGAAGGGCAACTTACCCTCAGTCACTGTGCAAGGCCAGCTCTTGAAAACCCCAGTCCCCCTCCCGCTGTTCTCCCTCTGCTGGGGCCTTCGTCGGCCCCTGGTGGGGGAGGCTTCCATTGGAAAAGGAGCAGGTGAGGGAAAGCAGGCTGGCGTTCTCAGAGGAAGAAGGAGCCCTGGCTTTTCAAATTGTTCATGGTGGCAAAGTCTTGGAGGCTGGAAGAAGTTTCCAAGAAAGAAGAAATGATTGTCTTTGAGAGAGAACTGGGAGTCCCTCTATATTCCCTGAGATGTGGCTCAGTTGCCTTCAGGTCTACGCAGTGTGGGCCCTGCAGGGGCAGGGCTGATGGCAGCTTGTCATGAGTAAGACCCAGCTCATGGGGGTGAGGGTCACAGCTGCCCTGGGATTCTTCCCTCTTCGGTCTTCTCACTTGTACAATGTATGTTTCCTTCTGTCACTTGCTTTGAAACCCATTGAGCCTTGTGCCAATAATCCATTACTTCAAAAGCCAATAAAGATTGACTCATGGAAAAAACATGTAATGTGTTGATTGAAGATGAATGGAATGGATGTGAGGAGATAGGAGAAACAGAGTGTCAGCAAGATTTAAGCATTTACTGGGTGAATAGTCTGGATATGTAAGAGAAAATATTATATATATACATATATATACATATACATATATAGAGTGGGCTGTTTATCTTGGATTTTCTAACACAGCCTCAATTTCAAATACTTTGACTTATTCCTTCCATAATTCTTATAATTGTTTCTAACCTAGTCATTCCTCTAATTATTTCAAACTATAGTAGGTTAGTGTACGTGTGGCCTGTTATGCCAAAGGTGAGTCCTACAGTTATTTGTGAGCTGTCTTGATTGGGGTTTGGAAAATTATGGCTATTGTAAACAAATGGGAGTGTCCCCTGGGAAATAGTCTCTTAGAAGATGGAAGCCAAGATGAGGAGGCAGAAAGCAAGGCCT